TTGGCCCCCGGAGATCCCGATCCCAACCCCTCGCTGGAGCTTTGCCTGTCGGGGTGACCCCGCTGAGCGGACCCCGCCGGGCTGGAGGAGCTGTGTCACCGCTGTCGCGACAGTGACAGGGGCGTGTCTGTCCCCAGCGGAGTGCTTGGCCCCGGCTCCGAAACCGGGGGCGGTTTTGGGGGTGACGGACCCCTCCCCACGGGAGCAAAGCGCGACCCTCGCCCCAGCCGGAATCACCCGGGACGATGCTCAGACCAGAAGGTGGTGATTTTAAATTGTGGTGATTTCAAATTGCGGCGATTTAAAATTGTGGCGATTTAAAATTGAATAAAAAAAATCGGGTGGGGTGGAGGGGGAGGGTGTGGGGAGGGAAATATTTTAATATTTAAGCAGTTCAGGAATGGTTTTAAGTTATTGTTTGAAGAGAAAAAACTCGTGTTCATCTCCGTTTTCTGGCTGTGCCTCCAGCTGTGGGTAAAGGAACGGCGAAAATGCCTCTTTTTTAAGGAAATCGACGACTTATTTTAAAGGAAAAAAAAAAAACGAGCTCTTTCCTATTTTTTAAGAGAATAACGCTATTTTTTTAAGCAGAAAGTGCCGTTTTAAGGAGTGTTCATAGTGTTGTACAGTCCCGGGGATTTATTTATGTTGCCTTCTATAAATAGGGGTGTTTTGGGGGGAAAAAAAAGGGAGTGTACATAAGGTTCGTTTGTATAAAGTTGTTCCAAACCAAACTGGGTAAAGCAGAATCAACATGTGACTATTAGGACTAGTACAATGTATCAGTGAAATGAGAAAAACCTTAGGTCTATAATCTAATTCTGACGCTTTTTTTTTTTTTTTTTTTTTTTTTTTTTTTTTTAAAAAGAAAAAAAAGTTTTTTTTGTTTTTTTTTTTTTTTTTTTTTTTTTTTTTTTTTTTTTTTTTTTTTGTCTATAATTTTTCTTTTTTCCTAAGGGAAATCTCCCCCCCCCGGTTGATGGGAACCCCCCTCGGGTGTCCCTGAGTGTCCTTTTCTCCTTCCCCGGGGACCCAAAGCCGGGCTGGAAATGTTCATCAACGAAAGTTCTGAAGTTAAAACTCCGAACTCCGATTTTCCCCGGTTTCTGGAGAGTTTTGGGGAGCAGGCTTTGGGGTTTTTCCACCTCGGGAAATGTGGATTTAAACCCCATTTTTGGGGGACAGCTGGGCACGGGGCGGCACCGGCTGATGTTGCCTCACCCCAACCCCGCCTTGGTCCTGCTGAGAGGGAATTTGGGGCAGGAAAAGGAATTTTTTTTCCCGTATTTCAGAGCATTCCCCAAACGGCCGCGGGACCCCGGCGCTTCCATCCCGCTGCTCCCACTGGGACCAGCGAGCTCCCAGCGATGTCCCTTTTGGGGACAGCGAGGTGGGGACAGGACAAACCCTCCCAAAATCCCAAAATCCCACGGGATCCACCCGTTCCCTGCAGTCCCCGCAGCGCTGCGGGCTTGAGGCGCTGCCGTGACCCCAAAAACCCCCGCGGGGTGTCCAGGGCTGCGGTGGCCCTGCCCTGCTGTCCCCGCTGTCCCCCTCGCCGTGTCACGGGTGTGGGGACCCCATCCCCCTCCCAGCGCTGTCCCCATCACCCCCGATGGCCGCGGGGACCCCAAACCCCGCTCGGTTCCCCTGGGGAGGCCCCAGCGCCGCAGCTCGGGGCTCTCCCGGCTCTCGGTGTCCCCAGACGGGTCCCCAAGGCCCCCGGTCCCAAACCAGGCAGGGATTTCCCTCCCAGCTCGCCCCCAAATCCCCCCACAAGCCGCAGCCCCAAGTGCCCGTTCCCAGCCCCGCGGGAGGAGGAGGAACCGGAGCCGGGAGCTCCGTGCCGTGAGGAGCTTTCGGTTTAGTTCTTATATTTTTTTTAATATAATATAATTTTTTTTTTTTTCATTTAGAGGAGGGGAAAAAAAAAAAAAAAAAAAAGCCCAGGAAGGCGGCGGGTTACATATCCAGGGATTATGTAAATCCCCGGTGCCGCGCTGCTCACGGCCAGGCGCGACCGCCGCTCCCCGCGCTGCCGGCGCCCCGCGCTGCCCGGGGGCTCCGGGAAAAGCTTTGGGGTCTGGGGGCTCCGGGAAAAGCTTTGGGGTCGGGGGGCTCCGGGACAAACCTGGAGGGGGGCCTCCAGGAGAAGTTTTAGGGTCAGGGGGCTCCTGAAAAAGCCTGGGGCGGGGGGCTCCGGGACAAACCTTGGGGTCGGGGAGCCCTCCCAGCCCCCCCGTCCCGCCCTCCAGAGGGTCCCCCGCCGGGTCCTGTCCCCCTTTTGTCCCCTCTCATGCCCACCCCCAGCCCCCGGGGGTCACCGCAGGCTCCTCCCGCAGCCGAGAGCTCCCCAGGACCCCCCAAAAAGCGGCCGCGGGACCCCGAGACCCCTCCCGGGCCAGGCTCGGTGTTCCGGCGCGCCCCCCGAAGGGGATGGCAACGGGAGCCAGGGGCAGGGTCCCCACGGGGCTGGGGACATCCCCCCAGTGTCCCCAGCAGCCCTGTCCTGTCCTGGCACAGGCACACAGCGAACTCCCCTCGTCATGCCAGTCATCCCAGTTACCCCAGTTACCCATCCCAGTTACCCCAGTTACCCATCCCAGTCATCCCAGTTACCCCAAGGGCAGCGGGACCAGCCCCGGGATGGCAGGACTGGCTTTTGTGGGTCCTGGAAGGGGGGGTGGCAGTGCCGGGGTGGCAGTGCCAGGTGTGGGAGTGACAGGGGGGGCAGTGCCAGATGTGACAGGGACAGGTGTGGCGGTGCCAGGTGTGGCAATGCCAGGGTGGCAGTGCCAGGTGTGGGAGTGACAGGGGTGGCAGTGCCGGGGGTGGCAGTGCCGGGGGTGGCAGTGCCAGGTGTGGGAGTGACAGGGGTGGCAGTGCCGGGGGTGGCAGTGCCCCGTCCCCCGCTGTCCCCCGGGCCCAGCAGAGCCCTCCCAGCGCGCACTCGGCTCCTGCCCCGTTGCGACACCTGCAGCCCTTGCGTCACCCGGTGCCAGCCCCGGGAGCGGGGGCAGCGCCCGCCCACGGCCCGGCCCGGCAGCCCCAGCCCCGGAGCCCGGCCCGGCAGCCCCAGCCCCGGAGCCCGGCCCGGCAGTCGGCTCGCCCGGAGCCGCTCGGAGTCACGGCCCCGCAGACGGGACAGCTCCGGCTTTTAGAGGGTCTGTCCCCATCCCCCCGGGGTGTCCTGCTGGGGACAGGGAGGTGACACCTCGGCCCAAACCCATCCCCTTGCCTGAATCCTCAGTAGGGAGGGTGGGCTCCATCCTCCGGGAAAATCCCGCTGGGAGCGTCACCCAGCACGGGATGGGCACGGGACACGGCCAGGACCTGCCCTGGGCTGCACAGCGCCGTGGGGACAGCAGGGACACCCATGCGGTGGGGAGAGCACCCTGGGGACACCCATGCGGTGGGGACAGCACCCTGGGGACGCCCATGCCGTGGGGACAGCAGGGACACCCATGCGGTGGGGAGAGCACCCTGGGGACACCCATGCGGTGGGGACAGCACCCTGGGGACACCCATGCGGTGGGGACAGCACCCTGGGGACGCCCATGCCGTGGGGACAGCAGGGACACCCATCCCATGGGGACAGCACCCCAGAGCCCTCGGCTGAGGGACCAGAGCTCCCAGAGTGGCCGGGAATGGGGACAGGGGAGTCCCCAGTGCCACCAGCCCCAAACAGGCTCTGATCTCCACCCCAGCCCCAACCCCTGCCCTCGATGCCGACCCCTCGGGGGGGATCCGGGGATAACCTGGCCCCGAGAGGCGCCGGAGGTGCAAAAGCAGAGCAGGTCCTAGAAGGGACAGGGAAGGGACCCTTGGGGCAGGGGATGGATCACGGGGTGGGAATATCGGGGGCCAGGACCACAGAGTGGGAATTTCAGGAACCAGGATCATGGAGTGGGAATTTCAGGAACCAGGATCACAGAGTGACAATATCAGGAGCCGGGATCACGGAGTGGGAATTTCAGGAGCCAGGATCCAGGGGTGTTTGTGCAGGGGGCAGAGCTGCTGCCCCTTGGCCGGGGGAGCCCCAGTGGGGTCTGGCCCCCACTGCAGGGGACAAACACAGAGCAGGGTTGGGAAAAGGGAGAAATAACGACATGGAAAGGAAGGGAAACAACAAAGATGTATTTTGCAGCCGGGTTCTGGCCTCGGGGAGCACAAAGCCAAACCCACAGAGGGAAATCCCCCCCTGCTCCCAAACGCCCTCCTCGCTCCCGGGGCCGGGGGTCTGTGGGGACACTGGGCAGGGACCGGGCTCAGCTGGGGTCCCCAGCCTGCCCCGTGTCCCCCTGCCCTCCCAGTGCCATCCCTGCTGGGGGAGACGTCTCTGACAGCTCCGAACTGCCCCAAACTCCCCTCAGGAGGGGCCGGGACCCCCTCATGAGCCCCGACCCCACAGTTCCGGTAAGTGAGCTCCATTTGGGGCAGAGGTTTTGGGGGACACAGCCCTTGACCCTGCCCCTGCACCCCCAGCCCCTCTGGCTGCCTTCCCAGGGACCTGGAGAGCTGGAGGTTTTGATTGGAAGAGTCTCCCCCAAAGCAGGGGCACCCCAAAACTGCGGGGAGTGCGCAGGAGCAGAAGCGATCCATGTTCAGCCTCTTTAGAAACGGGGGCACAACCAACACCCCACAGAATTTATAAATAAAGCCAGGCCGGGGGGGCGGCACTCCCCAGCCCCTCCCGGGGTCCCCCTGCTCCCTGTCCGTGAATGGGGGGACCCTGGGCCGAGTCCTGTCCCACTGGGGTGGCACACAGGGTGCGGGGTCACCGTGGAGCGTGACAGAGCAGGACATCCCCGGGTTCCTGCCCATCCTTGGCACCTTCTTCCTCCTCTTCTTCCTCCTCCACTCGCTGGGTTCCCCCAGGGCTTCGCTGGGCTCACAGTCCCTCGGAGGGCAGTGGCAGAACGTCCCCCCAGTGTCCCTCGGTGTCCCTCAGTGTCCCTCGGTGTCCCTCGGGATGCGGCGCTGCTGGAGCGGTGGCAGTGTCACATCATGGGGGTCCTGGGGATGGCGTCCTGCGGGTGGGGCTGGTACCAGGCCCCGAAGCTGTTGATGTAGCCCCCGGGGGCCAGCGGGGGGCCCTTGCCGGGCCCGGGGAGGTCCCAGAGCGGGGGGAGGCCGGGGGAGCAGGGGGACAGGGCGGGGACGCTGTGCGGGGTCTGCTCCCCCTCGGGGGCACCCGGGCCCTGCTTCATGATCTTCTTGTACTTGGAGCGCTTGTTCTGGAACCAGATCTTCACCTGGGGGCAGGGAGAGGGGGCTGAGGGGGGAGGAGGAGGCCAACACCCCCTAAACCCCCACCTTTAACCATTACAGACCCCCGGGCCCCCCTTGACCCCATTCCTGCAGGGGTCTGGGGCATGAAGCGGGAGCCCAACCCTTCACAAGGCACCCGGGACTCCCCTCTGCGGCGGGGGGGGGGAGGCACCGGGAGCCCGGAGAGCGAGGCAGAGTCCCCGGGAGTGTCCCCAGGTCGCCCTGCCCGTGCCAGCCCCGCCGGGTGCCGGTGCCGGGGCTGGGCCGGGCCCCGCTCATTCCTCCCCGCGGTCCCCCCCGCGCTGCCGGCAGGTTCCCACTTGTCTCCTCTTCCCCGGCTTTATGAGCTCGCTTCGCCCCTGGCTCCGGGGCTGCACCGCTGCCGCCTGCCTGTCTCTCCCCATCGCCTTCAAAAACCCACTCGCCCCGTCCCGCGGCCCGGGGCCGCCCAGCGCCGGGCACGGCCGGGCCGCCAGCCAGGCTCCGGGGCTGGGAAAGTCCCGCTGCCGCTGGGAGGTGCGGGCAGGGGCGCCCCAAACCCGAGCCCTGCGGGCCCACCGGCGCCAGCTCCCCCGCCGCGGCACGGCTCGGCTCGGCTCGCTTCCAGCCGGGCACGGCCCGCAGCCGGAGCCGTGCCGGTGGGGGAACACCGAGGGGAACGGGAGCATCCCGGTGGGGCCGCGGGGTCTCGGGACGGGCAGTACCGGGGCTGGGCCGTACCTGGGCTGGGGGAGCCCCAGCCGGGCCGTACCTGGGTCTGAGGGAGCCCCAGCCGGGACATGCCTGGGCTGGGTGAGCCTCAGACGGGCCATACCGGGTCTGGGCTATACCTGGGCTGGGAGATCCCCAGCCGGGACATGCCTGGGTCTGGGTGAGCCCCAGCCGGGCCGTACCTGGGTCTGGGGGAGCCCCAGCCGGGCCGTACCTGGGTCTGGGGGAGCCCCAGCCGGGCCGTACCTGGGTCTGGGGGAGCCCCAGCCGGGCCGTACCTGGGTCTGGGGGAGCCCCAGCCGGGCCGTACCTGGGTCTGGGGGAGCCCCAGCCGGGCCGTACCTGGGTCTGGGGGAGCCCCAGCCGGGCCGTACCTGGGTCTGGGCCGTACCTGGGTCTGGGGGAGCCTCAGCCGGGCCATGCCTGCGTCTGGGGGAGCCTCAGCTGGGCCATACCGGGTCTGGGCTATACCTGGGCTGGGAGATCCCCAGCCGGGACATGCCTGGGTCTGGGTGAGCCCCAGCCGGGCCGTACCGGGGCCGGGCCGTACCTGGGTCTGGGTGAGCCCCAGCTGCGCCGCCAGCTCGGCGCGCTCGGGCAGCGCCAGGTACTGCGTCTGCTGGAAGCGCTGGTTCAGCGCCTGCAGCTGCAGGCTCGAGTAGATGGTCCGAGGCTTCCGCAGCTTCTTGCCCTCCCCGCCGAGCCGCAGCTCGCCGTTGGACACGGCCGGCGGCTGCTCGGCCTCTGCGGAGCGGGGGGAGAGGAGTCACTGTCCGTCAGATATACCGAGAGGCTAAAAAACCACCCAAAACCACCCCAAAACCATCCAAAACCACCCCAAACCACCCAAAACCCACGCAAAACCCACCCCAAACCACCCCCGTGGTTACCAGGGGGTGTCTGTGGAAGGGCGGGGGGATAAGTGTGGGGGGCTGCTCTCCTCCGGTGTTTAAACCTCGGGGAAAGCAAAAGCAGAGGAGGAGGAAGGGAAGGACGGGACCGTTCAGGCAGTGACAGCGTCCGGCAGCACGTGGGACACGGGCCTCGGCCTGCGCCCCTCTGGGGGGGCCGGGGTGGACCCCCGGGGGATGGAGGGGCACGAGGATGGACCCCCCTGCCCGGGGGTCTCTGGCCTGGTGTCTGTCACCCAGGGAGAGCGGCCAGGCCGGGGGCTCAGCCGGGCTCGGGACCCCCGGGGGCAGCCCCGGGCTCAGGGGAGGGGATGGGGGTCCCAGGGGGCACCTGGGGGTCGCAGGTGGGAGGGTACCGGCCTGTAGGGACTGATGCTCCCCGTGCCCGCGGCTCCTCGATGCCACCCACGTGTCCCCTGCTGTTCGGGGCGCTCTGGGAGAGGGGGGAGACCACCCCCGACCCCTCCCCCGGCTGTCCCAGGACCCCGCACCCAGCCCGGCCCGGCCCCGCAGCTCTTCCGACGGCTCCGTCCCCGCTCCCCCGGCCCAGCCCCGGCTCTCCCGGCCCGGAGGGTCCCCGGGGCGGGTGCGCGCCCCCCGCGCCCCCCTTACCTGTGTCCTGCAGCCTGGCCCCGGGGGCCGGGGCGTGCGGGGCGCCGGGGGGCGGGTAGGGCAGGTAGGGACCCCCGTGGGGCGGCGGGGGGGCCCCGCCGGGGTACGGGAAGGGCCCGGGTCGGGCGTAGGAGGAGAAGGGCGGGGGGTCGTGCTGGGGGTGGCCGTGCAGGGGGTAGTGCTGGGGGGGGCCGAGCTCCAGGAACGCGGCTTTGGAGGGGTCGGAGCCCAGCAGGGTCTCGGCCACCGAGCTCATGGTCATGGTCCGGCCGGGCCGGGCTGGGCAGTGCCAGCCCCGGGGCACCCCCTTCACCCCGTGCCCACCCCCCCTTCGCGTGTGGGACCCCTTCGAGGCCACCCCCGCCCTGTGCCAAAGTGACCCCTCCCGGCGCTGGGGGACACCCCGACCCCCCTCCCCACGGTGTCCCCGGGGCTGGGGGTGACCCTCGTGCAGGGTTTTGGGGGGGGTCACCCTTTCTCAGGGACCCCCGGGGCACCCCGGGAGCAGGAGAAGGCGGCTGAGACCCCTCGGGGGACAGGGGGACACGGGGGGAGCCGCGATGCCAGGCGGGGGTGGCACCTCCCGAGCCACCCCGGTCCCCGCGGGGCCCCTTCCCGGCGGGTGACAACCTGCCCGGCCTCGCCCTCCGTGACCCCGGAGGGGCCTCGGGCCGGGGGGGCCCCAGCAGGGGCACAGCGGGGACAAAACCGGGCCCGGGAGCTGCTGTCACCGCCTTTGGGGACAGCCAGGGAGCCTCGGCAGTGCCGCGATGGCTTTGGGGACACCGGGGTGACACAGCGGGAAGGGAGCGCTGTCCCTGCTGCCACTGCGGGAGGAGCGGCCCCGCGGGAGCGGTGACAGCGGCGGGGACGGTCCCCTGTCGCCACCCTCCCTCAGGCCGGGTCGCAGCCGTGTTTCCAGGCGGCCACCGGCTCTGAGTCACCCGCGCTCCGATATAAATGACCCCGGGAGCCCGGGACACTCGGGGACAGCGCTCGGGGACAGCCCGGCCTCACCCCCGCTCCTGCCCTCTGTCCCCAGGTGGCACCTGGGGCCATTGCCAGGGTGTCCTGGGCTGTCCCTCGGGCTGTCTCCGTCCCTGCTGCGTCCCCGGGATGACCCTCAGGGACAACGCGGGCTCCAAATCCCGCAGCAGCCTTAAATTGGGGAGGGGGGCTAAGCCTCGGGGGCCACAAAACTCGGGGGACAAGCAGGGGATGTCCCCAAGCCCAGCCAAAGGGAAGGGAAGGGAAGGGAAGGGAAGGGAAGGGAAGGGAAGGGAAGGGAAGCTCCCCTGATCTGCTTTTATCCCGCTCCTCACTTTCCCCGGTGACTCAGCCCCACCGGCTGCGGGGCGGGTGCCGGCTTGCCGGGATCAGCTCCCGCCGGCCCCGCTCCCTCCCGGCTCCTCTCCCGGTGCTGGGGGCACAAAGGGGGGCTGGGGGCGGCATCCCCACCACCACCACTGAGGGTCCCCATGGGGGATCCCAGGAATGTCCCAGGGCTGGATCCGGGGGACACAGACCCCATCCCAGCCCCTCTTGCTGTCCCACCTCTGCTGAGAGGTGGATGGAAATAATATCCAGAATTAATAAAAGTACCCCAAAATGTCCAGTCTAAAGCAGGGAGCCGAGGTCCATGTGCCAGGTGCTGCAGGACGGTGTCCCCAGGGCTGTTTGGGGACAAGATTTGTCCTCTGGCAGGAGCAGGGGGGACAGCCAGGGTTCAATCCACTGCTGGGGTGAGGGGGCACAGCAGGGGGGGAAGGAGGGATGGGTCCCCGTCCCATCCCATCCCATTCCATCCCATCCCACTGATCCCATCCCACTGATCCCATCCCATCCCACCGAGCGAGTGGGGAGGGGTCCCCCCCCATTTGGGGATTTCCAGTGGAGACCCACAAGAAGGGGCAGTCCAGGGGGAGCAGTGGAACAGTGATGCCATCCTCATCCTCCTCATCTTCCTCATCCTCCTCATCCTCTGGGTCGGGGGTCTCAAGGTGTCAATCTCAGCCCCGTTCTGTGCCAGCGGTGGGCACGGGGACAGGGAAAAGGACTGGGGGCAGGGACAGGGACAGGGACAGGGAAGCACCGCCTGCCCCAAACCCCTTCGGGAGAGGGGATAAAACTCTCTCACCCACCCCCGGGCTGTGCAGAGCCCCCGGTCACACCGGGCTGGTTTTGGGAGGGTTCCAGCACCGATGTGGGCACGGGGCACGGCCGGCTCGGGTGCCAGCCCGCTGGGTGTCAGCGGGGGCTGGCAGGGACGGGACGGGGCTGTCGGAGCGGAGTTTGGGCTCGGAGCTGCCAAGACAAACACATCGACTCAACCCGAGCTGAATTAAAAAAATAAATCACGGCCGCCCTCGGAGCCAAGCCCGAGCCTCGGTGGCGGGGCTGGAAGGTGCCGGCACACGCCGGGCCCCTCGCGGTGGCCGGGACGAGCCGGGACACGCGGCGATAACGTCGCCGGCGGTCACCGGGCCGGGGATGCTCCCGCGAGCCGCGGGATGCGGATCCGGGCGGGCAGAGCCGCGTTGTTCCCGTCCGCCGGGGCCGATGAAAGCCAGGAAGGATTAAAGGGGAAAGCAGGGATGGGCGTGCGAGGAGGAGCGGGGGGGCCGGGAACGCGTGTGCCAGGTAACCAACCCCAAAGATCCCCCGAGATAAAGGGAGATCCCAACAGCTGTAATTAGGCTGGAGATAGAGCGGCGCGGGGAAAGCCTGGAGCCAGGAGCAGGAATTCTGGGTTAATGGCAGCCCAAGGAGAAGTTAATAACAAGCCCAGCGGAGTGGGAGCAGACAGCCTGGCGTCTGCCCTCCCACACGCCCGCGCTGCCACCGCCGAGCAGCCGCGCTATCTGCAGCCGGGAATGGTCCCGGGGCAGCCGGGGAGACGCTGCAGCACGAGCTGGCCCCGGGAGGACCCCCCCCACACACACACCTCACCCGGTTTTTGGGGCGTCTCGGCACCGGGAAAAGCCGGGCTGGGAGAGCAGAGGGTGAGGGGATGGTGGGGAGCAGCCTCCGGGGGCACGCAGCCAGGGGGTGCCCCAGGGGGAGCAGCGAGCCGGGTTTGTCCCCCCCGGGTGGTGACAGAGCACCCAGGGCCTGCTCCCCCCCCTGCCGTGAATCACGTCCGGAGGTGACCTGATGGCGCAGAGGTGGCCCCAGGGGACGCCGGACGTGGGAGGTGACAGCGATGTCACAGCGGGGGCCGGACGCTTGCGGAGGGACACGAGGGAAAGCAAAGCTCGAGCTGATTCCCTCCCCCCACCCCTTTATTTTAAAAGCTCCAACAAGGCCAGGATTCGAAATTTGAAACAAAAGGCCAGGATTTGAAATTTGAAATTTAAATTTTTTTTTTTTTTTTTTTTTTTTTTTTGAGCAAAAGAAGCTTAAAAAGTGGCTCCGGGTTCTGGAGCCGGGATGGGCTTGGGAAGCTGAACCCCGCTTTGCACGGGGAGCTCCCGGCCCCGTTCCCAGCGCCCAGAGGCTCCGCAGGGGGTGTGGTGCCGGCAAGTCCCCATCCAGGGGTGTAAATCAGCGTTTCCCCCTCCCCAAAACCGCGGCCAGAACCCCACGACACCCAGGGTGCCTCCCCTGCCCGTCCCCGCTCGGAGCTGGGATGAAACCACAGAGATGTGACCAAAATCCCCAAACCCAGCGCTGCTCCCCGCCCCCCTCTCCCCCTCCCAGGGCCGGTATTTTGCTTCAGAACCTCCAAATATTTTCCAGGACGCCGATCTGGGTTTGATTTTCCCGGCTGGAAAGAAAAGGCATCAAAGGCGCCTGGTGGGAACAACAAGGAGAGATGGCCCGGGAGGAAAACGCCCCTGGAATTCCATCCCTGCTGGGATGGGTGAATGGATGGAGGAGCGGGGAGAATTCCTGAATTCCTGTTTGGAGAGGAGCAAACGGGCGCCGGCTTTGCCGCCCCATAAAGGCAGAGGTGGCAATTCCGTCATTCCCGGCCGTTCTCGGCCATTCCCGGCCATTCCTGCCTGTTCCATTCCCGACCATTCCATTCCCGGCCGTTCCATTCCCGGCCGTTCCATTCCCGACCATTCCATTCCCGGCCGTTCCATTCCCGGCCGAGCTGAGGCCCAGCCCCGGGAGGGTCTCTCCCCATTCCAACCGTCCTTTGGAAGGTTCATTAAGGGCCTGGCATTAATTGTGGGATCAATTTCCCTCTGTGGGAATTCCCCACGTGCTGCTTTGGGATAATGAATTATTTCCCGTCTGGAAACTTGGGGAAGGTGCGGGGCTGAGAGGCAGAAAAAAACCAGATTTAATTAATTATTCCACTCATTAGCCCCGGCCTGGCCTCGCTAATTTGGGAAGGGAACCCCTTAAAGAGGCTTTGGGACCTTCATTCCCATCTCCCCGAATTCTGGGAGCAGAGGGGTGGGGCAGGAGCCGGACCCTGCTGCGGTCACTCGTGCCACGCCGCGGCCACAGGGAACGCCTCGGAGTCCCCGGTGTACCCACGAGGGTGGCGGGGGCAGATTCCCAAATCCCAGATCTCAGGTCCCCAATCCCAGATCTCAGCTCCCCAAGCCCAGATCCCAGCTCCCCAATCCTAGATCTCAATTCCCAATCCTAGATCTCAATTCCCAATCCCAGATCTCAATTCCCAATCCCAAATCTCAATCTCCAATCCCAAATCTCAACTCCCAATCCCAGATCTCAATTCCCCAATCCCAAATCTCAATTCCCCAATCCCAGATCTCAATTCCCCAATCCCAAATCTCAATTCCCCAATCCCAAATCTCAATTCCCCAGTCCCAAATCTCAATTCCCCAACCCCAAATCTCAATTCCCAATCCCAAATCTCAATTCCCCAACCCCAAATCTCAATTCCCAATCCCAGATCTCAATCCCCAATCCCAGATCTCAGTTCCCAATCCCAAATCTCAACTCCCAAACAGATCTCAGGTCCCCAATCCCAGATATCAGCTCCCCAATCCTAGATCTCAATTCCCAATCCTAGATCTCAATTCCCAATCCCAGATCTCAATTCCCAATCCCAAATCTCAATCTCCAATCCCAAATCTCAACTCCCAATCCCAGATCTCAATTCCCCAATCCCAAATCTCAATTCCCCAATCCCAGATCTCAATTCCCCAATCCCAAATCTCAATTCCCCAATCCCAAATCTCAATTCCCCAGTCCCAAATCTCAATTCCCCAACCCCAAATCTCAATTCCCAATCCCAGATCTCAATCCCCAATCCCAGATCTCAGTTCCCAATCCCAAATCTCAACTCCCAAACCCAAATCTC